TTATATTTATATTTTATTAAAAAATAAAACAATTATTTTTTTCTTAAAACCACATAAAAAATATATTATAAGACTGAGATAAAAAAATAAAACAAAATATTAAAATTGAAATATATCTACTCTTTTGATATGTAATTTGAAGTTATATCCTCGATATCTCGTTCGTGTAAGAACTAAAAATGAAATCTAAAGAAGTGTAGAGACCTACATGTAGTTGTTCAAAAAGGAGGACAAAAGGTAAACAAAACTGAAACCCACTTCAGTAACCAAATTTGGGAATTGGGAGGAAGAAGACACAGCAAGATTCATAATTTGAGCTACCAAAATTGAAATCACAAGAAAGCCACTGTTACTTTCAATAGGTGGTGGATTCAAGATCGAGGTTACGCTCTTCATATTCTGTTGTTCTTTTTGCAGATCTTATTTCTGTTCATCAGGTGTTCAATTTCTCAAATCTGTTTTATTGAGTTGCGAAATTAGGTTCCCGATTTTGTTCAATTAATGTTGACTTCTTGTTGATGAATTGATTATGAGCTGTTCTGCGATTCTACATGAAGTTCTAAATCTCAAAATGGCACCAAAGAGAGGGTTTTTCCCTCTCTTACTCATTGCATCTCTCTCAGCTCTCTTGATTTTCTCTCTCCACCGTTATTCCTCCCTTCCTCTGCCCTTGTCTCCTCCCATGACTCAATTCCCACTCACGAACACAAATGTAAACAAATTCCAAAACCCTAATTTCTCACTCACAATCAAAGTCCTTACTTACGATCGCCTCCCTTCGCTCCGCCGCTGCCTACGATCCCTTGCAGCTGCTCATTACGATAACGATAAGGTGAATATACATATATTCATTGATCACTTCAAGGTTTTGGATCAAAAGGATGAGTATTTGGATCAGAAACTGAATGAATCTCGTCTGATTCTCGATTTTGTTGATGGATTTGAGTGGAGGTTTGGGGAGAAGATGGTGCATTACCGGACCGGTAACGTTGGGCTGCAGGCGCAGTGGTTGGAAGCATGGTGGCCTGCTTCCAATGATGAGTTTGCATTTGTGGTTGAAGATGATATTGAATTGTCTCCCTTGTATTACAGATTTCTTAGGGGGTTGATTGTTAATTTTTACTACAATGCTTCAAATTACAGTCCTTGGATATATGGAGCCTCTTTACAACGAGCAAGGTTCGTGCCAGGTACCATCTTCTTCCTAAATGTTTGATATATGTGAATCTTGTAGAATCTGAATGGCTTGGACTAAATACCACTAAAAAACTTCAACTTGGAATCGATTTAATTTATAACTTAAGCCAACACAATCGATAGATTAGAGCTAATTTGGAAAATTGTAAGTTAAATGCCTTTATATGTTCATTCATTTCTATAACAAAGTCTATTGATGCCTCTATGCTTTTCATTGCCGGAAATTATACAGACATTGAAATAAGAAATTTCGGGTACATCCTTTTTTCAACTTTGGCGCACCTCAACTGCTAATACTTGCATAATATGTACCTGAAAAAATACATAGAGAGAATTGATGATGTCACATCTATTACACAAAAAAGTTGGGTTTGGCTTTTGATCGTAAGTAGACTGATTTTTAACTTCAAATTGGTAACATTTTCTTAAAACATCAAAATTATGATTGCTATTTATAAGTTTTTGTTTGTTTTCTTAAAACACAAATGTTTGCGATGTTCTCTCTACATTCTTTTTTTAAAGAAAACCTTAATGTGTTACAGAAATTTTTTCTCAAACAAGATTGTAACTTGTTCTAGTAATACCAGTACAAATTTAACAGTCGTTCCTAAACCCTAAGCGCTAACTGTTTTTCTGTATGTTTATTTGGTTCAATGCTTATCTTCGGGTCTTGTCTTCTATTTACGTCTTTTTCTATGAGTTTGTAAAGTCTTTCCATTGTTGTAGCTTATAAGTTTAATCAGCTTATGATGTCAGGTAAGCATGGGAACAAAATACACTTAAACGAAGGAACACAAGTTTTTTTGTATCAGCTTGTTGGTACCTGGGGTCAGCTTCTGTTTCCCAGACCCTGGAAAGAGTTCCGTTTATGGTATGATACCCACAAGACCAAGGACGTGAAGCCAATTCTTGATGGCATGGTAATGTAGTTTGAAATTTTGACTCCTTTTTCCAGAATGGAAGCTCTCTATCCTTTGGGGTAGAGGTTAGGTCTGCGTACATTTCCCTCTTCCAGACCCTGCTTTCGAGTGGGATATACTGAGTTAGTTTGGTTTGGTTTTTCCATGATGGAAGCTGATATTTCATCATCTCATTGGGTTTCATTTTAATGGATCGATACATAGGTGACAACTGGGTGGTACAAAAAGATGGGAGACAAGATATGGACTCCCTGGTTTATCAAATTCATTCACGCTCGAGGCTATTTCAACATATACACGAATTTTTTACACGAAACCGCACTCAGCGTCTCGCATCGAGATGCTGGCGTTAACTACGGGAAAACAGCAGGGCCTGATTCGAATCTGATGCAGGAGAGTTCTCATGAAAGCAACTTTTTCAAATTGGAGCCTTTGAGAAATCTCAAGTGGTATGATTTCTGTTTCAGAGAAGTAGTTCCTGATAGAATGGTGACGAGTGTCCATGAACTCGAGCCTGTTCTGAAAACGGCTCGAAAGATGAATTCTCTTGTTCTTGTGAGCATATATCGAACATCGGAGATGTTCACTAGAAACTTGTTGTGTCACTTTGAGCGGCTCGATATTCGCAACTACATATTTATCGGTCCGGACAGGAATTTCTTGCTCGATCTTTCTAGACGAGGGCACCCGGTGATCGACGTGAATAGATTTGTGGACGACATCAAGGAATATAAATCCTTTAAGTACCAGAAGGAGATTTTCGTGAAGGCTTATGTGATCAAGAAAGCTTTGGAAATGAATTGCGACACATGGGTGTTGGATCACAACATGCTTCCCGTCAAAAACGATTTGTTTCTTGACTCGTTCAGAGTTGACTCGAGCATTGACTTTTATATCGGGAAGAGACTTGGACTTTTGTTTGCCAGGGGTTCGTCATCTGGAGTTTGGAGTGATCGTTTTGTGAACGAGATTGCAAGAATGGCGGAGGACACCGAGATGAGTAAAGATGAGAGTGGTTTTGTGTTTTTGGCAGGGAAGGTATTGGAGAGGAAGGGTGTCAAGTTACGAAGGGTCGATGAAGGTGGTTTTAGTGTTGAGATCGGTGCAGGTAACGATAATGGAACGTCGTTAAAGAACGAGACGAGGATCGCGTTTTGGTCTTCTGATTTGGGTTGGGATTTGATTCGGAAAAGACTTGAATGTTTAGGTTTGTGGATAATAGATGACGAATCCAATTGTAGGTCTGTTATTTGTCACCCCTCGTAGCGTTTTCTTTTTCTTTCTATTATCAAACGAGTCATTTGCAAAATCCGAAATGGATCCAATTTTACGAGCATCATTTGTAACAGTATGTTAACGAAAATGAGAAGTGTTGAATTTATTCCTCAAAATAGCTGCTTGATCGCTTCGGAATACATGCCTTCATGGCCCTAATACTTTGATTTACTCTGTTGGGGGTTGGGTTTCGGTGAGCGGAAGAATTCAAGATGATTTCCACCATTGGATGCATATTATGACGAGATGAACCAGATCTCTGTTGGGGGTTGGGTATCGGTGAGCGGAAGAATTCAAGATGATYTCCACCATTGGATGCATATTATGACGAGATGAACCAGATCASKGGCCGATTCATGGGTGTGTTGAACCGGATCAGGGACCAATTCATGGGTGTGTTGAACCGGATCAGGGACCAATTCATGGGTGTGTTTGAAATTAAAGGTGATAAAAGGTCTAGATCTTTTCTCACGTTTTTCTTCGCCTACTCTGTTGATCTAACAATTCATATTAAATAGGATTTTTAATTAATTAATGTGATTAAGGGTAAAAAAAATAATTTTTGTTTTATTTTTTTAATTAAATTTTTTTTACCCATTTAAACTTTAAACTATATTGTCTTAAAAATTACTAATATTTTAATCAAATAAATTACATAAAAGGGAACATTTCATTCTCTTTGATACGACATCTATCTCGATATATTGTAATATTGATTATGAATATTCGTGTGCTTTAACGTTCATACAACAACTCGATACCGTAAGCGCTAACTCAAGATATATTTCTTTAATACCGTAAGTTTGTAACTTGAAAACATTGTCTTCAATGTCGCAAGTCCGCAACCTAGTACCATGTTCTTCATCACCGTAACTCAAGAACTCATCGAGACCGATCAAGAACCTATCAAGACTAATCAATAACTCATCCATTGATTTAGTGTGTGTAAAACCGTAGCCTACTAACTTCATTTTCCATCGAGAACCAATCGATTGGTTTATTATGTGTTTGTGTGTATAAAACCATAACCTACCACTTATAACTTTTATCGAGACGGATCGAGAACTCACTAAGACAAGTCGGGAACTCATGGAGACCAATTGAGACTAAGCGAAAACCCACCTATTAACTTGATGTGCTTTTCTGTGTGTAAAACCATAACCTACCACATTTATTTTCCATCGAGACCGATCTAGAACCTATCGGTTGATTTATAGTGTATTTGTATACGTAAAACCATAACCAACCACTTTCAACTTTTATCGAGACGGGTGGGAAACTCATCGAGACCAATCCAGAACTCGGATAGAAACCCGGATTAAATTAACTGATTGTGGATATAATTATTTTTGGAGGATAATTGTGAAAATTAGAGTTGAAACGTGATTATGATAATTACAAGTGGTTATCTATAACCATGTATATATATATATATATATATAGGGTTGGGTTCACGTGAGACCCGTAAGACCAATTTATGTTAATTAATTAACTTTATAAGCTAATGATCTAACGATCTAAATTGCACGGTGGCAATTTGGTAATTATTAAGAAATTTCGTGGCGTTTATGAATGTTTAGATTGTCAAATTATAGATCTAATCCAAAGGTTGAGAATTGGTCTTACGGGTCTCACGAAAAACCATTGGTCTCACATGATCTCAAGTATATATATATATATATATA